GTACTAATTATAATTATTATATAATAATATAACTAATATTTTTTAATCAGATATTATTCTTACTCAAGTTTTTGTTAATAAAACTTTAATAGAGATATATTATTAATTATTCCTTACATTATTTCTATTACTAGAAAAAATTGGAAATATTAGTATTAAATAGAATTATATCCATAAGACTGGTATTAAAGCTGTAATTATAAATATATATTTTAAACAGGCTTCTAGTATTATTAATTTCTTTTAATTCTTATTAATTCTTATTAATTTTCTTTATAGATTTTGGAAAGTATCTGGTTACTATTGATAATTCTTGAATTTAGTAACAGTATATTTAGTTAATCTTTATTTATTATCAAGTATATTATAAGTGAGGTATTATTAGTAGATTTTAGAATTATCTAATAGTTTTTATAATATTATAAATACCAACAGTATCTTCTGAAAATTACTGTAGAAATATATTAGATATTTTTTATAAATTATCTAATATAGTAGTCTAATAATAGGCTGTATATAAGAAAATCCCATAGATTCTTTCAGGATTGAATATTATATGTTCTCAGATATTACTAGATATATTTAGAAATTACTAGAAAATATTAAATCTGATTAAATCTATCTATTAATAAATAAATACTAGTAGTATTAATTTTTTTTCTCTATGCAATCAGATAGTAAGTATTATTATTATATATAATATTATTAAAACTTACTAATAAAATTCAGATCTAACTAGACAGATTAACATAGACTTGAAAATCAGAGAAATCTTTTTAATTATAATATATTACTAATTTTCTGATAATTAATACATACACCTAAAAAACAAACAAGAACTTCTAGAAAAGGTTAATTATTTCTTAATTAAATTCACTATTTTATTAATAATAATTGATTTAACTAGAAACACAAGTTAAAACTTTAATATATTAGAATATCTCAAGTACTTTAATAATTAATTTTATAAAATTACTAAATATACCAGATTCTTTTAGTATTTCTTAACCATATTAGATAAGATATAAGAGTACTAGTTTACCTTTGATATTTATAAAAAAAATCAGTTTTTATCTGAGATAATTTATTTATTTCTGATAATAATCAGGAACAAGTAGATCTAGAAATAATTAATAAATTTAAAGAGTTAGATAAAATATATAAAGAATAACAGAAAGTAATTCTAAAAAAATAAAAAAAATAGTTTATTTATTAAAAAATACTAGTAACATTCTAGAATATTCTAATATTAAAATAAAAAGAATAAAAAATTTTATATTATAGCTTTATTTCTAATTTAAATATTATTATAATCTACTAGATATATTTAATAAAATAAAATAAAAAATATTTTTCTTTAGTACTCTATTGTCTATTAAATATAAATATAATAATCTTTGATTTTAACTTTTAATATAAATAATTTATTATTTATATCAGTAATTACTAGTTAATTATAGAATTTATTAGAATACTAAATATCTCCTCCCCTAAAAATTTATCTTATATATAATAATAGAAATAGAAAGAGTATACTCAGTAAAGACGAAAGTAAATTTCTTTATATTCAGTAATAACTAGATATATATAGAAATTATTATTATAAAAAGATTATATCTAATTCTTTATTACCAGAACTAATTAAAAAAAATCTTAATTCTAACCAATAAAATCTAAAAGACTTTTAAAAGTTTAATTCTTATAATAGTTGCTATAAGGATATTAGTATCTAATAAAAATTAGGAATCTAGTAGTTATTAATATTTATTATTTATAATTTTTTATAGTATGGGGATAGCAGTAATCATTATACTTTTTAATATAGTAAATATATAAATTACTAATTACTACTAATTAGCTTCAGTATTATATAATGATTAGTATATAAAGACTTATAGTTTAGTTTTATTAATTTAAATATTACTAGAAGAGCTTTAATTACTGCTGGAAACAGCTTTATTAATATTAAAAACAGTTTTTTTGCTACCAGAAGAATCTTAATTATTATTATCAGTATTCTTTATACTTTTAATCAAAGAGCTATTAATAATATCTGGGATACTACTAGTAGTACAGGCTTTCTTGTCAGGATGAGAACTAATATATTTTTAGTTATTATTAATAACAGCTGAAGGACCACTGGGTACAGGAATTATAATTAAGTTAATATTACTAGTAGAACTGATTTTCTTGGTAGAAACTGGTTCTGTGGGGGCTCGGCCAGGGGTAACTAGGTTTAAATATACTGATTTACTATCAGTAGTGCTTGCAGATAAGGTATTATATAATAATAATTCTAAGATACTAGAAGGAATTAGTAAATATCAGTAATATTAATAATAATATTTTTTACTGGTATTTACTAGATTTAATCTTAGTAATCCTGAGGCCCTCAAATTCTTTTATATATTATTACTAATTAGTATTATAGTATACTAATTATTTCTGGAAGATTTTAATTATATAATATAATTTTTATTTATATATTTTTGGATAATTGTTTTATTATATTCCTGGCTAGAATTAAATATTACTAATTAATATTATAATAATTCAGCTCTTAGTAGATATACTCACATGATATAGATATAATATAGATATTTATTTATATATAATAAAATAATCTACTAATTAATATTAGAAAGAAATAGAAGAGAATAATACTATATAATTTTATCTAAATAATACTATTTAGTACAAAGTATATCAGTACAGTGAACAGGACAGTCATAGATAATCTTGTAATTAATAATAATTAGTAAAAAAATCATATAATAATAATAATAATTAATAATAAATAATAATTTATATAATTAGATTAGGTTTATTTTTACTATTATCAGTGGCTTCTGATTCTAACTAGTTATTATTAATATGTTTAGCAGGTCTTTTATTTTTTTAATTATTATTAATAAAATCCAGTTTCTCTGATTCAGTCTGAGATTTAGTAGTATTTAAAATAGATTAAATATTACTGATAATAGTTAGCTCATTAATACTAGGTATCTCAGGATTCTCAGGATATTCAGGAGTAATTAGTTTAGATTAGTTATTTTTATCTACTACAGAAGTGACAGTTATATTTTTAATATTTAGATAATTATTAGGTATAATTAAATTTATAATTATCTGATTATTCTTATCTTAGGCTAACATGATATTAACTAGTAACTATTAATTATGATTTAACTGGGATCAGCTGGTAAATACCAGTAAGATTAAAAATAATATCAGATATTAGTATTATCCGGTAGTAATCAGAAATATCTAATATTATGATTTTAAGAAAAAATATTATGCAGAAATCCATAAATAAAATTAATTAGTAGAAACTAGAAAGTAATAATAGAAATCATAGAAGATATAATCATATAGAGAAATTTATAAATAAAAATAATTAGTAAGAATCAGAAATAAATAATAGAAAATAGAAGAAAATAATAAAAATAAGAATAATACTAAAAGTATAATCTAGATCTGTAAGCTAAGATACTAATCTATGGCTTGTCTTACTTTGGCATGTCTTCTGATTAGTAAAGAATATAAAAATAGTATATTTAAATATACTAAACATGATAATGATGCTTTAGATAATAGAAATAATACTTTAAAAAATACTTTTTAATAAAATAAGATATATAAAGATGACTTACCTAGAGATTAATAATTTAAGATAAATAAAAAGAGAAGAAAAGAAAAGAAGATAAATATTATTAAAAGACTATAAATAAAGATATTTTAGACTAATTTAATTAGGTTAGTCTATATAAATATTACTACTGGTAGATACTAGTAAGTAATGAAGTTATATTTATTAATCACTTTCTTAAACAGGCCGGTGTTGCAGATTCTTTTCTCTGAGTACTATTAGTAGATACTAGTATAAATCAGAATTATATATATTATATATAATTATAAGATTAGTAAGTTATATCCAGTTCATCCCGAAGCTACCAATTAGATATAGAATATGATTGATAGAATCATAAAAGTTATCTTTATAATTCTTATTATATTTATTTATAATTTAAGACTCTAGAGTGACTTCCCGCTAGATAATATATTAATTTATATTATAAATAATCAGAAATTTCTAGTAATATATTGTACCATACATGTACTTAAGTTGATATTAGTATTATATTTATATATATATATATATATATATATATATATGTGTGTGTGTGTATGTATATTTTTAATAAAATAATTTTTTATAATTAAAATTTATTAATTACTTCTAAGTTATACTAAATAAAGCTCGTCTCAATATTCAGATTATATTAGTAAAATATAAGTCTACCAGTATCTGTTAGAAAGAACTAGATATAATCAGTAATTTTAAAATAAACTTATAATATAAAAATATTATTAATATATAAATATAGAAATAGAATAAATAATACTTGATATATATACAGTAATTTATAACTAAAGCTCTTCAGGTTAGGATTTTTTAATCTTAATTAGTAATTACCAAATCTTTTAATAAAAATTAATCAAAATTTTATATAATACAAGAGCTTACCAGGTTTATTACCTGGTAAAATAGTGTATTTTTACAGCTTAGTTTTTCTGATAATCAGTACTAGTAACAACCAGGTCCCATACTGGTAAGAACCAAAAATACGTACGACCTGGCGACCTGGGGACCTGACGACCCAAGTTAGTGCTACGCCAGGCTGGCCGGTAGAGTGTTGGACAAAGAAAAAGTAACTTCAAGGTGACTAATTATTATAGCCTAGATGGTAGTTAGTGCTGGCCGCTAGGACGCCGACCCAGAAAGGGCAGGTCCTCGTTAGCGGAAGAACTGGTATCAAACGTGCTGATTTGTATATCCTCCAACAGGTAAGGTAGCCTAGGCTATGGTACCGATGCATAACTGCATGACTGTGTCTGTCTCCGCTTCATCCACGCGGCCATGCGCGAGATTCTGGCTCGATTGATGACTGACATAGTCACATCTTAGGGTGTGCTTTGTGTTACGTTTCAACCAAAGGATCTGATATTGATAACCCTCCTCATCTTCACATGTATATACTGCTATCGAATTGTTTCCAAATTATAAGTCCGCACTGGGACGGCTGTGCTCGAACGAAATCTACCGATGATGCGACCTCTTCCGCCGCCAAATCCCACGAGAACCTAGAAATCTGGGAATCTGAGACCTGTCCAAAGCCCGACTACTATTTTTCACGGTCGCAAAGCCTTTCTCGATGACCTTCTGACCGGCTTGATCACCACGAAGCTCTGTTCCGGCGATAAAAAGTGGTCAGACGAGATCCTGGGTAGAGCGTGATCTGTTGCGCGTGTAGGTAAGCTGTTGCAAGCAATCTAAGATGCGACTACACGAGTAGTCCTTATAAGCTTCAGCCCCAGAGAGGCCCGATAGTGCCTGGGAGATATAGACCAGGGTAGCGTGAGCGTACATGGACACGACGAATTTGAAGTCCCGACGCTCAATATCTGACCAGGAACCAATCGATTCAATGATTCTCAGGTTCTGGGACTTAGCCGACTCGATCAGTGCATAGAGATTAAAACTGGGACGCTGTCGGCGGGGCCAGGTCTGAGGCCAAAGCATGGGTGTTGAGCCTCTTCAGTTGGGTGATGTTATGGATGCGAACGAAGTCAGCCAGCACCGCGTCTGTTTGCTGGTAGGTGGGTCCATCAGAATATTATCAACCCGACTAAACGTCGTCAGTTGTGTCCACGCGGAGATTTCATAAAACTCCTGCAGGAGAAATTGTTCGACCCGATGGTGCGGGTGTTCAAGACCCGGGCGACCGGCCCCAGCCAAGATAACCTCACGGGCTGCCGCCAGATGGATACGCTGCTTCGCCATTTGGGCTTTTAATGAATCGCTGTTGCAGATTAGCCTGACAGAGCCCAATTCAACGAGAACGGCGTGGTTGGAATGGTCCGTGGGGGCCGCAGATCTCCAAGACTCAATTTGGCAGACTAATGCCATTCATCCCATCTGGTGTCAGGGAAGGGGCTCGTCTTGTGCTGGGCAGAACGCCATTGAAAAGCCCGGGGACTTCTTTATACTTCCGATAATCTTTGCTTGCCGATGTTACCGATAATATGATCATCTCCCACGAGCAAACCTTCGGTCCTGTGGTTATTATCACAGCGTTCCAGACAATAGAGCAGGCCATTGAAAAAGCTAGTAACTCAATTCATGGTCTACGGTGCTCGATATTTTTGCAGAATACCGAAGGAGCCCATGGACTGGCCCGGAAATTGAGAAGCGAGACGGTATAGATCAATAGCAACCACGACAGTGACTTGCGCACTCCTTTCGAGGGGATTAAGCAGGGTGAAATTGGGCGCGAAACTGTAGGGAGGCTCTCAATGTGGGCAAAAGTATATTGAATGCGAGGTGTCACATTATCTTCCGATGAATTGGTTCTGGATCTTGTGACCGAAGAGTCACGTGACATGCTCGCCATGTGGTTTGCTCTTTGGCATTATCTATCACAAATCTATCTTAGAAATCAGATTTTGTTATTCAATATGCCTTATAAACAATCTAGAAAAATTGGCTTGCTACAACCTACTATGTTTTATTACGACTATTCGTCTATTTACCGCAATTAGTTAGGAACTTCATCAGGACTCTTTGCATCATATGAGTCGGTCGTCAAATATATATATTCTCCCGTCTTTTGAAACCACTCAATTGGAGAGCAAAAGTAATTCATAACTACATATGCTATTTAATCAAAATGGTCCTTGAGTTTTTTGAAGGCGACAGTAGGCAAAATGTGGGCATCGCATATATGGATAACTGGTGTATTGCGTGATTCTGGTTTTCTTTCACTTTAATTGTATTTTTCTGATCCTGCTCTCGTTTTCTCTTTTACCTTCGCAAGTGCCCAAACCAGTGCATGCAAACTGAACAAACAGCACACCGAATGCCCCAGAAAGAAGAACGGCATCCCCGTTTCCGGACCATCCGGGGCAACTCCGCGGCCAAGGGGGAGAAACCTACTGCAATGAGCTGATCTTGCAGCTTGAACCATCGAGCCAAGCCGAAGACGGTGCAATAACAATCCCCAGATTGTCCCCTCTTCTCCGCCCAGGTAGTCTTGACGAGCATGGCAGGATGATCCCAGCCACTTTAGGGAATGAGGCGTGGGGGTGCCAAGCCGGCGCTGGGGAAAGATGGCCAGCAACAACCTGGGATACCCTCCGATATTTCCCCGGATGCAGTCAACCCCGTCCGGGGTTAAAAGGACGGTGAGAGGAAGGAATGCTTGACTCACCCACCACAAATCATCACCATGATCGGGTCGTCCCATGCTGTGGTGGCCCTGGGCCTCTTCACATTATACGGTCGTTCTGCAGCGGCTCCCGCAGTTGGGGCTTCAAATTCACAGGGTATGTCATGCGCGTCGTGAGGGATGCGACAACGCCGCATCTTCAATCAGAGTGCAAGCTGATTTTATAGCGATCGTTGCGAATGGCACTGATTTCGCGTTGAACGGCGACAATGTCTCATATCGGTTCCATGTTAACAGCACCACCGGAGACTTGATCTCTGATCACTTCGGTGGTGTCGTCACAGGCACAATCCCATTGCCAGTGGAACCCGCTGTCAATGGTTGGGTTGGCATGCCTGGTCGAATCCGTCGGGAGTTCCCCGACCAAGGCCGTGGTGATTTTCGCATTCCCGCCGTTCGTATCCGGGAATCGGCAGGTTATACTATTAGCGATCTTCAATATGTGTCGCACGAGGTGATTGCGGGTAAGAATGCTTTGCCTGGCCTGCCTGCCACATTTGGAGATGCACAAGACGCTACGACTTTGGTAGTCCACCTCTATGACAACTATAGCTCCGTCGCCGCCGACTTGTCATACTCCATATTTCCAAAATATGATGCCATCGTGAGGAGTGTCAATGTGACTAACCAGGGCCCGGGTAATATCACCATCGAGGCCCTTGCAAGCATAAGCATCGATTTCCCTTACGAAGACCTTGACTTGGTCAGCCTCCGTGGTGACTGGGCCAGAGAGGCCAATGTTCAGAGAAGCAAAGTGCAGTATGGCATCCAGGGGTAAGTCGCTTATTTTAGAACCGGCAATATGACGTTGCTGACGAGGGATTAGGTTCGGAAGCAGCACTGGATATTCCTCTCACCTTCACAATCCTTTCTTTGCCATTGTAGATCCAGCTACTACCGAGTCGCAAGGCGAGGCATGGGGCTTTAACCTTATCTATACGGGCTCTTTCTCTGCCCAAATAGAGAAAGGATCGCAAGGTTTCACCCGGGCACTGTTGGGCTTCAACCCAGATCAATTGTCATGGAACCTTGGTCCTGGCGAGACCCTAACCTCCCCGGAGTGTGTTGCAGTATACTCGGACCAAGGACTCGGCTCAGTGTCTCGCAAATTCCACCGACTATATCGAAACCACCTCATGAAGAGCAAGTTCGCCACTTCCGACCGTCCCGTTCTCCTGAATAGCTGGGAAGGAGTTTATTTTGACTATAACCAAAGCAGCATTGAGACTCTGGCCGAAGAGTCCGCTGCCCTGGGTGTCCACCTCTTTGTCATGGACGACGGCTGGTTTGGTGACAAGTACCCTCGCGTGTCCGATGATGCCGGGCTGGGAGACTGGATGCCCAACCCAGCGCGCTTCCCCGACGGGTTGACCCCAGTCGTGCAAGACATTACGAATATGACCGTCAATGGAACAGACTCCACAAAGCTTCGTTTTGGTATTTGGGTGGAGCCCGAGATGGTCAACCCCAATTCCACTCTCTACCACGAACATCCGGACTGGGCGCTTCATGCTGGGCCTTACCCCCGTACCGAGCGTCGGAATCAGCTCGTTCTGAACCTGGCGCTTCCGGCTGTGCAGGATTTCATTATAGACTTCATGACCAACCTCTTGCAAACTCCAGGCATCTCTTATGTCAAATGGGACAACAACCGGGGAATACACGAGACTCCGTCCCCGTCCACTGACCACCAGTACATGCTAGGGCTCTACCGGGTGTTCGACACGCTGACCACCCGCTTCCCGGATGTACTGTGGGAAGGATGTGCCTCAGGCGGCGGCCGCTTTGATGCCGGTGTGCTGCAGTATTTCCCCCAGATTTGGGCTTCTGACAACACCGACGCGATCGACCGAATCACCATTCAATTCGGTACCTCACTTGCCTACCCGCCATCGGCAATGGGGGCCCACCTTTCCGCGGTTCCTAATGCACAAACAGGCCGCACTGTGCCTATTACTTTCCGCGCTCACGTTGCTATGATGGGTGGCTCTTTCGGCTTGGAGCTCGACCCAGCCACGGTGGAAGGTGACGCCATAGTCCCCGAGCTCCTTGCGCTGGCGGAGAAAGTGAACCCTATCGTCTTGAACGGCGATCTGTACCGGTTACGCCTGCCTCAAGACTCCCAGTGGCCTGCCGCACTTTTCGTGTCCGAGGATGGCGCCCAAGCTGTTCTGTTTTACTTCCAGGTCCAGCCAAATGTCAACCATGCCGTGCCGTGGGTTCGGCTACAGGGGTTGGACCCTGAGGCGCAATATACTGTTGATGGTGACCAGACTTACTCCGGTGCAACGCTGATGAATATGGGGTTGCAGTATAGCTTTGATACGGAGTATGGTAGCAAGGTAGTTTTTCTGGAGCGGCAATAATCAGAGCAATGATCATCATATACATACTCTCTGTTCCTAGCCAGTTCGGCCCAAAAGCAATCAAACTAAATCTTCCCGGTATTATGTACATATGTGAAGACATGCTAAGGATAGAGTACAGTGATAAATTTCAAGTGCGCGTGTCCTGCGGTCAGCAAAGACTGTCTTGGCTGACGTCGTAGCCCTTGCCTTAAGTAGCCGCCTGCAGGATATTCAGGGAAATACCGAACTAGCAGAGCTTGAAAAGGTGACGGAGCTGATCACAAAATGCTTGAAAAATTGTCTGGCGGCATGTGCAGGATGTAGCCACTTACCAATATGGTAAGGCGTTGTCGATGTGTTTGAGTGGTTAGCCGTCAGCTCCAACCATTCTTTGCAGGATCCCTTACACTGGACGTTTGTCCATCTAAGTTGATTGGGATGTGAACCATAATCCGATGATGCATGCCACTTTGCGACGATTCCAGATATGACCGCGACACAAGCTGGGGATGCCTTATCGGAGTCACCTAGTTGATGAAACGCAATCAATATTCAGTTAACCAATTAGCCTGCAGAGGAGACTTTCTCCCTAATCTTCACAAATTGGTTGTACTACCCCTGCATTCCGGCTGCTGGCGGCGCAGACCGCAAGGCCATCAACAGCATCATTGGCTGAAACCTTGTCTATCAGTGGGCTGCACCACCCAATGAGATAATGATACCTTCGACCTATCGTTCCAATCTGGCTCTCTACATGAGAAGCTTATCTTGTGTAACTTGATCGCGCGGCACCCAGTTCTTCTCAGGATACAGCTGCGCCCGCATTTATTATGTCCCTGGCCAAATGACACCTTCATTTGTCTGGAGAAAGCCTTTCTGGTACGGCAGGCTGCAAGAGGTTGTCCGGTACGCAGCCGGCCCATCAGATCGCATCTCAAGGCCGTAGGAATACGGTCTTCATTACACTCTGACAGTTTTGGAATCGAGCACAGAAACCTAGTTATGATAACCTTTCAGCATACATACTGTACTTCTTCGACTTTATGAAGCAGCTTTATTCATCCTCAAATTTTCAACTCACAGACACACCCTTAAGATGACAGGTATGAATGCGCAGAAACAATGTCCACTCTCACTGTCCAAATAAGCACAAAAGCTTCCAAAGGCCTGGTATTATACATTCAAATTTCCGCTTTGTTTGATCTTGATGAAAGCATCCTCCATTGCTTCATGTGCGGTGGGAAGCAAATATCCATATTCAGACAGCTTCCTTTCAAGCTTGCCAACATCAAGACTTGTGTTGCACCGTGGAGCCATAAGAACCTTTCTCTGCTCTTCTTCTGTGAAATTCTTCCATTGAAGTTCAGGCCATATATGCTTCTTAAGCAGATCCATGACCTCATTGTGGGTGAACGACCCAGGATTGGTCTAATCCGTTACATTAAATTAGACATGAACCTAATTTCCATCGAAAGGACTCACAAAGTTGTATATTCCTGTTTCATTATGCCTTGCGAGCAAGATCATGGCAGGAATCAGGCTGGGCAAAATGCTCCCTGACTAGATCGTTGTCAGTACTAACTGAGGTAAGGGTGGCTCTGACTTACATTCGGGACGTTTATTAACTTCTTGTACGAAGCAAGTTTGGTAATCATATTTTTAGGGTGCAAGTCTGCGCCAATAGGGTTGCGGATACGGAGGATCAACACATTGGAGTAGTGCCTCAAAACCTACCAAGGGGATCAGCTGCATTAGTTCCTCAAAATGGCAGGATGCTGCAAGCATACTCTTTCAGATAAGACCTTCGTGTTAGAATAGAAGCTTCCCGTAAAGTTTGGCTCATCCTCCTCGGTATAGCCCGGACCGCCCCATGCGTGGTCCTCATTGTAATCGTAGATGCATCCCGACCCCAAATGGGTGAGATGCACGTCGTGGATTAAGCAACAGTCAGCCAGGTTCACCGCACCGAGTATGTTGGAACGGATCGTTTCCTCTCTATGTGATTCGCACCAATCCACGTTGGGATCACCGCGTTTGCCTGCGGCATTGATGACATGAGACGGTCTTACTCTAGCAAGCTCACTGCGTGCCACCAAATGAGAAAGTGAAGAGCGATTCAAAATTGGTCAAAAGGGCAGACCTTAGAACCTCTTCTCGGTTTTCTATTCGTGCTTGGGAGACAACCAGCTCATCACTCCCTCCTCTTATGGCATCCTGAATTTGGCCAGAAACCCAACCGTTGCCTTTGGACGTCAGACGGTATGTGGACGAGAAGAACGAGGACAACACTTACCAAATAGAAGAAATCTAGTGGGTGCTTGACCTTCCATAGTGTAAACCCTTTCGGGAGATCTTTATATCAAACAGAGTGTCCTTTAACTTATAGCAGCGGTGACAGTTGTGTTCTCTACTCAGTTATGTAGATCTCTTTCCCATGGAGGGACGTACTCGACAGTAACGCACAATGCTTATATAGATGATGCCGAGCTTTGGGTTCGCCATACTATCTATAATAGCCCAATTTCAAATGGGGGGAAATTCCGGTGTCGTCACGCCGCATTATGCTTCCGTCGTGCATATCCTGACTTGTCATATAGTTTAATAAATCTAGATTCCTGCAACTGAAACTGGATTAGTGTACGTCACCAGAACTCGCGTCTTTTCACCCTCTGAGACAGACATTGGCTCGTGATATATGGCACACGCTACAGAATAGTTCATGAATGCATCGGAAACCAGTAAATTAAAGTTCACCTTCCAACTGTTCAAGGCAGTAGGGGAAGTAATGATGTCAAAGTCTCATATTGGGATGATAAATGACGTCTTGGGAAAGCTCCTCCCCTTTTTAATAGGCTAGATGATGTCCTTTGCAAGGCGGATGCATGCATTGAGTTACAGATAACCTGAAGTAACGAGTTATCACAGGGTACGTGGATGTCACACCGCTGCAGGAAGCGTAGTTATTCGAATTGATGAAGCTCACCGTGGCAATAACACGGTCCTAGCATATATACCTACCCTGTGACCTCCTAATCTATGAGTGTACTACAATTGAAATTAGTCATATTATAAGCATCAAAGAGAACGTTCCATCCCCAGAGCCATATTTCACCATGACTATCACTACAATCACTCCTATGACCAAAGGTCACAGAGACCGGCCAGGTTGTGACGTGAAGAATATCCTAATTACTGGAGGAGCAGGATTCATTGGATCTTGGATGTGTCATCACCTTGTTCATCAATATGGAGAACAGTACAGCGTTGTCTGCCTTGATAAGCTGAGCAATGTGTCTAGCTTGAACAATCTGATGTCGGTTCTGGATAGACCCAACTTCCACTTTGTCCAAGGCAATCTCCATGACAAGGAACACCTGATCAAGATTATGGACGAGTACAACATTGATAGCGTCATACACTTTGCGGCAGAGTCCAGTGTTCAGAAGTCATTTAGCGATCCTGCTGCTTTCGTGGACATGAATGTATGTGCGACGTTCCGGTTACTGGAAGCAATGAAGGCCCATGGAAAGATTATAAGGTATTCCCTTCAGTAGTAGTACTCATCTCCAGCTGATGTGGTATAGGTTTGTACATGCCTCGACTGATGAGGTGTATGGGGAAACATGGGGGGTCAGTGTGGACGAAGACACGCGTATGAACCCTACCAATCCTTATGCCGCTAGCAAAGCTGCAGCCGAAATGTTCGTCATGGCCTATCGGAAGAGCTTTGGTATTCCCGGCATGATTCTACGGTGTAATAATATTTATGGACCCTGTCAATACCCCGAGAGTAAGGCTAGTTGCCCCATTCCTCTTCATCAATACTAACCTTTTCTTTCAGAGCTCATCCCCAAATTTGCTTTGCTTGCCAGGGACGGCCAGAAGTTGACAATCCAAGGCAACGGCAGCCGCACTAGGCATTTCGTTCACGTCGCTGATGTAATTGCTGCATATGATATGGTTCTTCACGAGGGCGTTCCCGGGGGTGTTTATAATGTCAGCTCATCAGACGAAGTATCAGTGCGTGATGTTGCGATTGGAGTTTTGAGAGAATGTGGACATGACACAAGGGGAGAACTTGATAATCTCATTGTTTCGATGCCGGATAGGCCATACAACGACAATGACTATGTTGTCAAGGGTGACAGGCTCAAGGAACTCGGATGGTCTCAGAGCGTCTGCTTCAAGGAAGGACTAGCCGATACGGTCCAGTGGTATCGGGAGAATGGGGACAATTGGTGGAAGGAGACACTCGGCAATCAGATCAGCGTGTGACATTAGCCTCCGAGGAGCAGTGATAATGAAGGTATACTCTCTTTTGGAAAATGAAGTGTCAGGTCGAATATTACCACGCAAGTTAGACTTGAATGAATGAGCGCGGTAGCTAGGGTTTCCAACCACTGTGATGTGGGCACTTTTGCGTAATGTAAAATTTAAACATTCATCATAATATCCTCGTCCATCTCTGATGAGGTCGCCTGTTTCTATAGACTTTTGAAAGAACTAGGGACTATTTATCCCCCTGTTCCCCAGCGGATTCATGTCTTGTCGATAGCTTCTTTAACATCATAGCCAGTCATGAGGGTCGTGATGCTGTTATGGATCCCCCGCCTCCATCCCTCTATCACCTGGGACAGCGTTGTAATGAGAAGGACTTGAGATATTCAGAGCCCAATTTGCCTTCGATTGGGGAATTGTACGCTCAGCATTTCAGATTCTATGCTCAAATAATCATAGATTAATATCAAACACTGGCTATGTAGTGGGCGATATTAATGGCGTGTCCTAAAATAAAGGGAAGGCGTAAGCACATCTTGGTGATCGACGCCACACACTTGAAAGCTATTCTGTGAGTTCCTCTACCTCTAGGTCCCACAAAAGGCGAATGTGTGTCTCACTGGCCATTGCACAATACATCGTGGAATATGTCCCCTGCTTGGAGTTCGATCACTTTCACTGGGTCTTACCAACGCGCATCGGATCAGACGCTTCACTGAGACTGGAAGCCCGCGATTGAGCTTTAGCACGTACAATCTTGCATCAGCTCTCGTATAATAGCCATTCTATTCCCGCGGGGCGTATACCGGTTGGCGAGAGATGGGCCTCTTTCGAGGACAGAATACCTACTGTAAGATGTTTTCGACTCATCCGAGCTATGAAGGTGGTAGTACTGAATTACCATGCCCAGCGGGGCACTGATAATAGAGCTTAACGCAGTGGGTCTTACTCGGGATTTGGTATCGAAGGAACGTGTACTAGAGTCGTTGATGAGGAGAGGAGGTGTGTGGAGAAGAGCAGGTCGCATTACTATGTTGACTGAGTGAGACCGACGTGCAACGCTATGCTTGAGACTATTGGAAACTAATGTTAAAGCGTGACATCCATTCTTCTCAGCTCTGTGTGTGGTTTTGAGGATTCGGGTTAACCCGATCGCTGGTTTTCAGCTGATCGGCGTGCGGCGATCTCAGCCGCAGTCCAAATCACTCACTGAACCCTGATTCAGCTCCCACTACTGCAGTCCCTAGATGGTCCCTCCCTGTTTGTTGATCTATTTTCTTTCCTCCTATTACTGCGGAGCCAGCAGAGTAAGCTCGGGCCGGAAGTCAATCGCAGGGTTTTTTTATGTAACCATTATTGTGATTCCCAGATCTGCAGGGCTGCCTGGTTCATGACCACGAGCGTTTTCCCTGAATCAGTTGCCAAGCTCGCCTTAGCCCAGCCTGTGTAACTGAATAACACTGAAATACTTTTTCGAATAAATTATTTTCGGCTATTTCTCAATCCGGGAACCTACTGGTATCTTTTCACCAGTTCGCCATGGTTGACAGTATCCTGTATCTCGCTTGATTCCGGCGTTCTCAGACTGCATTAAACCTCACTTTATTATTTTTGTACTCGCGATGGTGAATGATTGCCTTGAAATACGAATGTGTTGTGTCTTGGCATGTGTCATCATAATTTCAGCTTTGCTGGAATCATTGCGAAAGATCCGAGGGAACAGATGAGTTCAGAGAGCAAAATATATTACTGTGTCATTTACTTTGCCTCTGCTTAAGTGCACTAGATGGGGTTGGTTAGAAATAGCATCAATAGTGTAATTTCGCATAAGTGAAGTGGCAAGAGGTTGCCACCTGACGCTCTAGGAGCTGTTCGAACTATCGATTCGACGTTGCTTTTTCCACACCCTTAGGTATTCCAAATATGAAACTGTTTGATTCCTTTCCTCGCTCCAAATGAGATGAGATATTAATCAGGCACCATGTCTCCTTAAGCCCTCAAAATTCAACACCGCGCAGCATCTATTTTGATCCAATCTCGACATTTCTCTACTCAACTCGACCCGGAAACCCGAACACATCCATCTAATCATCCATCATGAAGCTGACCTCTACTGTCACCGCCAGCTTGCTCGTCTTCGCCAATGCCGCAAGCGCTGGCCAATGTGTAGCTGGCTTGAATTACTGCGGAAGTACTTTGGTCGATGGCGGTGAGAAGCCCAGAAACAGTCCCTTGGTCAGCACAGTAAGCTGATGTATGGCAGGATACCATGACATTATACAACAAACTCTCCGAAACTCTGGTGAAATCGTTCTTTCGAACTCGCCGGGCGTCTGGTGGGGCACTTACTGGAAATGCAATCCTGGCGGCTCAATCACCTATCTCGGAGGTTGTGCCGGTGGTTGTATCGATGCCGGAGCTGGCAAAAGTGACATCTGCAACCATGACGCGTCCGATTGGCTATAAATTGCATCTAGTGAAGGGCACTGCTTTGCTTGGACCTAGTGAGGTCGAAACATGCCGTTTTACATCTAAGCCAGCTCTCAATACAATGGCTCGTCGATGTCCTGTTTATAAATCAAGCATTCGTGGCTTGGTTTCAATCAGCCCTTGGCAGATAATAGACCACATGGGAGCTAAACAAAGGAGAACTCGCGCGCTCGTATAAGTAAGGGCGAGCTTTGGAGACCCTGACCTTGATCAATTTCTCGTCATCCTGGATACCGTCTTGCAGTCGTTAGGTCGCACCAAGCCATCAGAAAAGGACCTGATTCCAACGCTATAAATTCTATTGAACCCCTGTCATAACACCATTATTTAGGTACGTAAATGTGTCACATTCCTGTATAGATCTCATCCATATCACCTGAATTAGGCCGTCTTTGTATCTAATTAGATGTTGCTTTTCCTCTAATATAAAAAGATCATTCACAAACGCATCATGGCTTATCGGTAATCCTTGTATAACACACATCAAATCAATGCAGCTTTATGACTCTTGTCAGTTGACTGCCTGCGGAAAGCGCCATGCGTTTTAAATTGGTGAATATTTACATATCGAAGTGTATTCGAGAAAGCTTTCGACATGGCTAGCAGAATTCATATCCAAGTGAGATGTCCAGTGAGTAAGTGAGATGCCCAGTGAGTAGAAGGCTAGATACGGGATGACTAGCGGGTGGGTTAGTGAGTCTCTGTCATTTGCATACGATATTCCAGAGAAAGAGAATAGAAATTAACACAAGATAAATGGAGTACATCACCAAATCGCCGGAAGTCCATTGAATACATACTGGGCACTATGATTTCAGTGATGTTTGTTCTTATGAGCTATGCAGACATTGAGGCCCGAGAGTAACAACTCCGAGCTGGATCTCCGAATATCCTCACGAGTAGTCCTCACATTTACCTCGATCGACACATTAGTACTAATGGTGGCAACCGAAGACATCCCCGAATTCCCGATCAGAGAGGAGGGTCGGCTGGATCCGACGGGATTAAGCCCGGGTGGGAATAGATGCGCCGAGATCCTCATTATGTAGCCTTGCTAGTTGTCTTCTTCGGGGTTTGCAAGTCTGAATACGGGGTATTCATGGCCAAGTCATACGTGCAGTATGGAGTAGCCTACTGGTATTTGCATTACCTTCTGCAGCTGTTGGAAGATACGGGAATGGGTATCTGCAGTTATGGGACGCTGGCCACCAAAGGGTTCACCAATCTTTCTATATCATCCTAATGGGCTATGTATCCCATATTACATAATAACTGGTCCTGCATTATGCTTCGCCACGCGCGTCTTCAGCCCTTTTTTTTTTTTTTTTTTTTTTTTTTGATCAATCACAGTCCACGGACTGAAGTATAAAGTGTGAAAGAGTAAATCAGGTGGCTATTGCTTAACTGGTCCTGAGGCATGGTTACACAGGTTTTGCTTGTTCAATGCATTGTGCTGCCCATCTCGATAGTGCCGAAATCTAGAGGGTAGTTGCAGAGCTTCGTGCATTTCAGCTCTTGTGCTTCCCCACACCGAGATCCAACAGACCTCACATAGCTACGTCATATTTCATGAGCCACGATGGACATGAAGATGTATAAATAAGAGCCCATCTCCCCTCAACCTACGTAGAAAATAGCGCAGTTCCTATCGCCTATCCAATCCATCCTGCCTCCTACCTCGAGAACAACAAGGCTGTCGGTTTTAAACCGGAAGGTTTACCATGAAGTTGATTGGCACTATCACTACCGCCGCCCTGGCCTTCGCGGCCGCTGGGAGCGCTGCCGTCTGCACGCCTGGCTTGAATTATTGTACACGCGTTCTGACGGACGTCAGTAAGTGGCGCCCCTCAAGGTATCCTAATTCCTGGGGACGATACTTATATCTTGAGTTTCATAGGCGGTAGTAATTTCGAAGCTATACAACGAGAGCTGCAGCGCACGGACAACGTTTGGCTTTCCAATGCTCCCGGCCTCTGGGGCGGTCTAATCTTTCATTGCAACAATGACAAGTCCATCACTGAAGTCGAGAGATGTCCCGGTGGGTGTGTTAATGCTGGAGCGGGGCAAAGTGACTACTGCAGCTCCCAGACCAGAATCTGGGGTTAGATCGCCGGTATCTACTAGCGAGTTTCATACAGGATGTATGAAGACGAAAGTAGACACATTTATTGCGTGAGGAAGTACTGGGCCGTGTGGTGTATCTAGGGTTTAAGAATGAATCATCAGCAGAGATATACTTTTCGTGAAAATGGTCATTACTTCTGTTTGGTGGTCGGGAATCTTATGTCGTTAGATCATTCTCCACATATTCAGAAACTACCGTAGCTAAGAGCCTCGTTCCTATGAGGACATGTATGTCAGATCTGAGTCTTTCAAAAGCCTGTGCCAGTAGTTTTGACAAACTTCGTGACTGGAATTTAGATTTACATATTCTCCTACTATGTTTTTCCAAGTAGACGATGCTAGGGACAAAGGCGCCGTTGAGATAGATCATTAGGACTTCCCTTTTTACAGTCGAGTACTGAATTACATGACGATCAACATATTATTCAGATATAAATATGATCAGGAATGAGATCGTGCATTTGGTACTAACGTGTGTCTCGGAATATTTTGTGGCATGAGGACTACCTACTGTGCAGCAACCGCCAGAGAGCGTGTCAACAGCGAATCAACGTTTTGACCATTCTTTCATGATATCACGAGAGGTTTGTTAACCACTGTATGTAGCCCTTCTGCCAGATAGTACATACAGCTCACAAGGCGGTAATGGAATGCAGAAATCCAATGTAAGCATTCCTACGTGGTTGGACTGTTGCTAATCAAGGGCTGGCACGGAATGTGTAATTTTACTTGAATACTAAGATAAGGATCAAATCGCAGTGGCCCATCCATAAGATTCGCTAACTTGCTCGCTGGGTGCGGATCTGTGGTCTACTTTATGTAATCTGCCAGCATCTTCAATGTCCTCTTGGAGCTGCTGGAAGATACGAAAAGGGCTGTCCGCCGCTACGGAGCCATGGTAACCAGGAGCTGCAGCAACCTTTCTATATCAACACGATAGCCTATGCCTACTACATAACCCATTAGGAGGTTGGTCCATAGTATCGAGCGTCCAAATAGTTTGCTGTGTGTCCGTCTGTTGACCCCTCATCACGATCTGTTTTTCCGTGGCCCACAAAAAGCAATTTGAAACCTCATGGACTAGTGATTTAGGCCACCGTGTTCATCACCTTACGAGGTAGCTTCACATTGAGCGACTACCCTTCTAAGCCTAGTCTGACAAAGTTTGGACCACGCAGCTTGGGCCGACCCCACTCCAGTCTCTTCAGGTTGGCAAAGAACGCTAGTTCACAATCCCAAGGATTTGCAAACAAGAGTGAACTTGGCCTCCGGTAGCCTTCGGCCAGACCATGACAGAGGCGTTCAAGATATACTATACCTGACTGACACCGCATATACTAAAGCTGCAATGCTCCCCTACAATTGGAGCCAACTTGCATTCATCATACCGCCTGCATCGGGGTCTGCCTGCATGAAGCTAATGTTGTGGGGTGGTGAGTGTGATGGTGAACGATTCATGCATACTGGTGCGGAGATAGTTGCGATAAATCTTCATACTCTGAACGGACCTGCTCGGGATGATTCTAGGATCCGAGATCACCCCCTCTTCCCCCCCCCCAAATTATGCAACTAGGAAACGCGGGAGCGCCTCGGTGTGACACAGATGGATTTCAAGAATAGGCGAAGTGGACCAGGAAATGAAGCCGTTCGTCCGGCGCAATATCGACCATGTGCCCGAGGGTCATATGTGCATGCAGGGGCGTATCCACATGTACTAGGATCTTCGGGTCACATTCCTGTCTGGGAGAGATAGGATATCGCGATTATGGCTAATTAGTTTGCCCTTCCAGTAAGGGCCAGCTACAGTAGCGTTAATTGAAAATACAGTAAGTGGTTTATTCTTCATCTAAAGGGCTAATTCACTATCCTGTCATTCTTTGACACAGGACAGGGTCCTATCTGTTATAAAAGACAAGAGACCAGACGGGTAATGACCACAATTGGGATTGCGCCATTATTTCTCAATTGCTTGTTCATAGGACCTACTTGAGCGGACGGGTACATCGGACTAGTGAATCAAGGGCAGCCGATTGACTCCTTAGTTTGCAGTTTCGCCGCCTGCTCCGCCAATCATGCAAAGAAATTTTTCGCGCACCCTAGATCAATAAGCAATGACTCGGTCGATCAGAAGATTTTTTTCAGCCGGAATGCTTTAGTTGGCTCTGTTCGTGGGATTCCTTGTTAATGCCATTTCTATCACACAATCTTTCAATGGTTTTTACGCCATGCAGATTATGCATCCAAATGCCTCATACCCACCGCAGTGACCATTGTACTACGACAGAGCCCATTCAGTCAACCCTCCTAGAGCCCTGCAAGGCAGCTTGTATGTACTAACCGTTCGTAACGATGTGAACATTGTGTTACATATGTCAAATATGCGGCAACATCACACCATAGCGAAATCTGTCTTCATACGTCATTCCCCATACACCGCACTCAGGGCGGTAAATGTAACGGTACTAAACCACATATTTATCATTTCAGACTACTGAGATATGATCCCGTAGATTTGGTAAACAAGCTCCCATATCTATTACAGTTAGGTTGTTCAACAGCAACATGCGAGTATTAGTGTACCGGCAGTGTTGCATTGCTTTCAACTCCATGTAAGACGCCAAGACGATAGAGTGAAGACTGTGGAACAGCATGATATTTCTTATTGGACAACACCAGTTGGCCTCTCTAGGCCTTCAGCTGCTCAGCTGAATAGCTCTCATGATCTTCGATCATCGGGCTTTGTTGAAAGCCCTCCTCGCTTATCACTCACAGCGTTCCATAAAGCAGTACCTATTGATATTTCTTTTGCTGTTTGCTGAGGGCATAAATATGGAGCGCGCACCTCAACAATTTGCACTTCATTCAGCATAGCATTCAATCTTCCCTCAGTTGCAGAATCGAATAGGTCCACGTTGGATACAACCAAGCTTCTCAAAGTTTCAGCACGAGACCAACCATCATGAAGGTCACCGCGACCATCGCTGCCGTTGCCCTGGCATTCGCAGCTTCCACGAGGGCTGCCACGTGCACCCCGGGCTTGGACTACTGTTCAAATGTATTGTTGGATGTCGGTGAGGTTGCCCTTCGATAACTTACTGGTCTATTGGGTAAAACTAATCTTTCTTCCAATCAAGATCCCAGCAACCGTAATGCTATCTCGCAGACCTTACAAAGCAGCGGAGGTGGCGCCTATGCCAACGACCAATCTTCATGGAAGAGCCTTATATTCCATTGCAACAATGATCATTCCCTCACTTGGCGGAAATGTGATGAATATGAAGAGTGTGCCAATCAAGGCTCTGGCAAGAATGATATCTGTGTATTTGACGCCATCTTTTGAAGCTCTTAGAGATGTGGATGGAAGGCATGCCAGGGGCATACCATTTGGCCCAGGACTGGTGAACTATGGGCATACAAGGAAGACTGGTGGATTATGCCTCGATTAAGCAAACATATAAGGCGAGCAACTGATAGTCTCTTCGTTGTTACATAACCTACAACAAACCTCGGGTGAAGGTCCATATTTGCTATGACTGAGTCACTCTATGGGTGTAGACAATGAGTACCAGTATCGTGATAGCTACGCCGGTATGGTCGCCCCCAATAATCCCGTAGACATATTCCCATAAGGGAAATGATTGCTCAAAATATAAAATGGAAAGAATGCAGAGGTTGGGCGGCACTCGTCTGTGTCAACGTATCATATGCTGCTGTCGTGTAATCCGCTACTTCCGAGCATCAACCAGCCGATACGGATGACACGATCGAAAGATAGCACAGGTGTCTCAGCCGCCACACACGGAGGACTGTTAACCGCAAAATATGGCGAATCATGCGGTCGCACATCGGGGGTGTCCTCTCATCAAACCTGAAGACATACAGTAAGAAGCGTGATTTAGATATTACAGCACTCAGTAGCCGAATGCACGATGACTTCTGGAACCATTCACCCCTGTTCAGCTACTTGAACGACGCCTAATTACGTTGTCCCCTTTATCCCCTACAGTTGGCCTGCTTGCTGGCTGGCTGGGAATTAGTTCGCGGCGCCACATCGACCGGCTTCATTTGAAATTGATATGCCCGGGTACGTGGGCCGGGGATAGACCGGCAGCTAATACGCATCAACTCACCAGGTAGTGGTACTAAGAGGCAGCAATTCGCAGAAGCGACCGCTGATTTCAATTTCCCTTGCGTCTTTAAATGCCATGCCCCACACCGCAGCGACCTCATGCCAAGAGCGTCCCAGCTGGTGAAATACTTATGTAAATAGATAGTAGCCATCCATGGTTTGCGTCGGTCATTTTTGCTACTGCTTCTAGAGCGGTGATATTTTAGATTGTGTCGAGGCAGTGAACCCACCGGACTTAAAACTCCTAGGCCATCCAGTAACATAGTTTCCCGCCCACGCCGGCAACCCGCCTGGATCGGCCGCCCATGCAGTTGGTACAAAGGACATCATTTTCCGGTATAATGTATCTCCTCAATGGGGTAACTATTGCTTCAAAAGCGTATCTCCTTATACCTTCAGTAATAAGGTCTTCATGAGAACTCTTTTCAAGCTTTCGATTATTAATTCCTACTACTAACTACAGTATCAGAAAATATTATGTAATTCCATCACAATCGACATGTTCCACATTCGAGGGGAATATATATACTTTACTATATTCTTTACTCCCTGTCAGGTAGAACATAATTTGCCTGTCATCGGATATAAACTTATAGGTTCACTCAAGTCCTCCCCCTGGATTTGTTCTTGGAAACTATAGAAGTCGAATCCACTACGCTTTAATTATTGGAACTATTGCTATTCAAATATTTATACGGGTAGTATCTAGGAAACTTGCTGCTACGTCACCTAACCACTTTGTCTTTCCCATCCAAGACACACAAAAACCGGTTTAAAGCCAGTCTATTGTCTGGCTCTCACCACAATCAGCAGTCCCGTAACTCGGAAAAAGCAGTTATATACTTCATAGACCGGCGAATGAGGCCACAATGTCTATGCTTTTACAAAATTAAGTTGTATTAATCGAACCTAATACTGTGCTTACTTCGTGGACCAGCTTAGTGCATACTACTGGGGCCAATTTAGTACCGATCACAGTATTTATCTGGGTTCTGAGGTTGGACTGTAAGTCTGATAGACGAATCACTGCATGTAGTGTTTCCATTAAGCTACCATCTACTCAAGCAGAGCGTATGCTTCGTACATTCATGTTTTACCCAACTCACTAATTAAAACAGCATGGCATTGGTGATTTCTCTTGGGTTTATTCCACTTCATCTGCTTACATCCCTGATCTGGATATAACACTTTTATTGTCGCTATAGCCTGCCTACATCTTATCGAGTCTTCGAGGAGAGAAAGCTTTGATTGTCTCTCTCATATAGTCCTTCATTAACTCCTTGAAATTTTCGTGGAGGTAGCCATACCATGTACGTCTGCTAATAAGGGGTTTGTTGTGGAACAATAGATCGTGGCAGTTGCGAACCCGGGAGTTAGTAAGTGTTCACGTTGTGCTCCATCTTCTGCGATTGGCCGCCCCGCTCGGCAACCGCAAATTACTTTAAGACGGCCGCTTCGCCTCGCTTGATTTCAACTTAATATACCTCTGGCACGTGGATGGGCTATAGGACGGCAAGACACTTTCCATCACTAGCGCTACTACTAGCAGTACTTAGACCTACCGTCGGACGCGACCGCCAACTGTATTTCTCCTAGGACATGCGACGCTACTTCCTAGCAGCAGGTGTATCCACGGTGTGAAGATCATATAAAGCTAGCTGTTTATCCCCGAACAGTCCTTATCACCCCTGATCCATTGGATAGTACCCTGCTCGTTCCATTCATTTGTCACTCTTCGCACTATTGACTCAGCATGGTGAGATTTCTCATGCATTCGGTTATTTCTTCATGGCTGCTGGTAGTGGTTAGCGGGAGCAACGCCCAGGCCCTAGCTCCCACTAATGATATCTTATTCCCGTCGACACCGACAACCCAAAACCCCCTGCAATATGCCGGCGGAAATAGCCCTTACTTCGCTGGTACGAAACCTTTTCCTCGCATTCTGTGGCCATATTGATCCTTATTTGTATTCATAGGCCCTAATGTCTTCGGTATCGACAGTAGGGTTCCAGATAAATGCTCGGTCCAGCAAGCGGCTTATGTCGTGAGGCACGGCAGCCGGTAAGTGCTCCCCGACGTACTGCGCCCAGGCGTTTGAGCGCTAAGCTTGAACTGCAGCTTCCCAGATTCTGGCTCTTATGAATCATGGGTTGGTATCAAGGAGAAGGTCTGTTATTTCTGTCACAGTAATGTGTCAGGGCACTGCTATTCATGCTAACCTCCGATACTAGATCCAAGCTGCCGTCAATAGCACCGGCTTTGAGGCCCGCGGATCACTGGCCTTCATCCCAGAATGGACTCCAGTTTTGACCAATCCAAGCCTGCAAATGTCTCAAGAGTCAATGACAGGATGGAAGGAGGTACCTGTCTAATCACGAGCATCAACATGGTATGATCACTAATTGTGTAGGCGACTGATCTGGGCTACCAGCTGCGGGCCCGATGTAAGACCGTAGCCCTATGCTGATTTTCATTAGTCGCTAATGGCATGACAGATCCCCACTTCTACGAAGATGGAACTCCATTCTATGCATGGGCAAATGCTTACCAGTATCCTCTAAACGAGTCTAGAGTCGTTCAGACCGCTCGTGCCTTCGTCAATGGGTATCTCTACGAGTATGCCGACACGTACGGCACTGTGGTCAGTGTGAACTCAACCGGCTCAGTCAGCGCTATCGGCAACTCTCTAGGACCCTCCGATATGTGTCCTGCATTTTCATCAATTTCCAGCGGAGGAAACAATGTTACCGATTGTAAGTCTGGGGGAACTCTATCCATGCGACCGGGCTAACTCCGTGACAGTCGACGCTACCTGGACTCCCAAAGCGCTCGAACGCATCAACTCCCTCGTCAGTGGTAATCTCACCTTCGACGAGAGCGATATACTCTTCTTCCCCTATATGTGCGGCTACGAAAGTCAGATAACCGGACGTCTGAGCTACTGGTGCGGAGTGTTCACCGAGGATGAGCTACGCAATTACGCTTATTCGCAGGATTTGAGCTACTACTACAAAGTCGGGCCCGGTTCCGTCGGCCCATCCAAGGTGCTATTCTTACCTTTCCTCAACAGCCTGATGGACCTCTTAAGCAAGGGTCCGGGTCAGGTTGGAACCAATGCGGATGATAGTAACTTCACCGTTCCCAACCTGATCATGGCCTTCTTGAATGACAATCAGATCGCGGAAATGACCGCTGCCATGGGCATCTTCGATGACGAGCCCTCCCTACCCATCGACCAGCTCCCCGCCCACCATCTCTATAATATTGCCAATTGGATCACTATGCGGGGCACTGTTGCCTTTGAAGTGTTGAGTTGCGAGGTGGAGTCTAGACGCCGAATGAACGACAAAACATATATCCGCGTACTATTCAACGACGCCGTCTACCCCATCGCCCACTGCCAAAATGGACCAGGCCGTAGTTGCCTGTTGTCTGATTATATCTCCCTTCTCGGGGAAAAGACCAAGGCTGCAGGGAGCTTCGACGGATATTGCAATGTGACGGTGGCAGATGCTCCTAACCCGGTGGCGGGCGCCAGCTTCTTCACTGACCTGAGCCTCGACTTTTTGACCTTTGTCAAACCGTGATTGTGCCACTGCAACTACATTGTGGTTCTAGAGTGTATGCATTATTTTTTTCATCTACAGATGTTGGAAATTCGGAAAGTACATACGAAGGTCTACTTCAATCGTGGTCCGTGTTTGGGGTCTCCTGTCAAACATGGCACAACCCGACCGTGGAGAATTTACCCGTGAATACCCGGCTGTACATGCCTCACCTCCATCTTATAAAGCATAATTACATAGTGCATTTCTATCTTCATGAGTATTAGCTCTCTACTATGTAGGTCGACATCAAATACCAATTTTGCCTGCTTCGTGATCCTCACGTCACCGAGAGCAGCGACCAGATTCGGTATCAGACCAAACCTTTGTTTCGTACGATGGCGCATAGTCAGGTGAAAACGGGCACGCAGGATAGTCCGTGGCCGCTTGCTGTGTGCTAATGCTAATTGATGTGCGTGCAGTCGACTGACGATCGGAGAAAATGCTAGCAGATTCTGCCCGGAAAGATGAGGTACTCCGTACGCTGCTTGTCTCCTCATCCCGCTGATCGCGTGTGTTCGCATTGACATTAGTCGCGTTCGTTGTCGGATTCTGATCTCGATGGACTGCTTCAACTTCCGCCTCAAACTCGGCACCGTCCCTACATCGCCATCGAGCAAACAAATCATTCTGAATCCAGATCACTTTTCCCAGTGCACGGATCAGCGCAACCCGGAAGGGGAGTGACATCTTCTCGCACCCCATGACTCCTTCGATGAGCACATCTTGAATATACCCGAGACACGCGCCGATGTGTATGTATTCCACATCAAAGGAGATCATGCGGTCTTTCCCCGTA